TCGAGCTAGGAAGCAGTTGGGAAAACTCGTGATCCTAAAAATTTTCATTCTCCATTTGCATTTGCGATAAGGGACCCTAAAAAACCCCGCGCGCGGGATATCGATCGAGGGTTTCCTAGGATCCTCCTACATTATGTGCTCCGTAGACGGCATTCTTTGGGATTACTTGATCTCGTGAGGCGCCTTTTTTCCCTACCCCAGGCCAGGCGATTCCGTTTAGTGGCGTGGTACTTGGATAAACTGCTTGGTACGGTACATTTTCTTCGTGGTGGTTGAGTGGGGCTGGATCGAATAAGAGCGCTGGCAAAATGCCCCAAAGGCCATCATCCCTCCCTCCAAGGGTTTATATGCGTGAGAAAGGTATCACAATCTGGTCAAACCGTGGCGTACATTCCATGCCTCAGAATCCCGTTCCCGCAGTCCGTTTATCGGAGCGAGAAATCTCAAGGCAGCTTCGATGAACGGAAAATATTTTTTTCGTTGTAGACGATAAACTATAGTTTATCGAGGGTCTATGGTCTGATCATAAGGAGATTTGGAGCTTAAGCGTCACTACGGTAAGCTACTAGAGTAGTAATGGCTTCGAGAACTAAAGCAGGTACTGGCGTTCATCTGTCCAATATCATCTGAGAAGATTTGCAATTGGAGGAGAACTGGTCCGTTTTCGATTCACTAAAACGATATTTGCCGCGCAGGCACCCGGTACCCCAGGGCCCCTCCAAGCGTGCAATGTAATGTACTCTGTAATGGATTTCAAGAAGTACTTCTGGTACTTACGTATAAACCCGACGAAGCTCAATCGGAAGGAGGCACAGGCTTTTCCCATCATGCCATGAATGTAGCTGGTAATGTTTGACATCCGATCTTCCTTTGGGAGAGGAGCTGGTGAACAAATGGAATTGAAGATCGCAGGGTACATACCTATTTATAATATATTGCGGTGGCTAGAAGAGAGTAACCAGATCCGGAGATCGTGGTATAGATTCGATATCAACCTCGATTGAAGTTTCATAGTTTGGAGATTATATATCTATACTTACATAATTATATAAGTATATACAGATGTATAAACATATATTGTGTGTAGAACAGACCTGTCTGTGGATTCCATACATGTATTATTCCATACCAGCCTATTCTATCTGTCTCAGGTAGAGTGTGTGAGGAGAGAGAAGCGTGGGATGCCCAATGCAGGAGGAGGAGGCTAAGTAGCAAGAGAGCGAGATCTAACTATCATCCATCCATCGTCGTCATTTATCTTACCTAGCGGAATCCCTTTTCTGTCTGGTGCAGCAACCTCGGTGAACCCATGCCTGTGTCCCACCCACCCACACCCACACCGCGCCAAACAAGACATGCCCCTCCACATACCTTATTCGCTACACCGGAGCAAGATATGGTACTTGTCTTGTCTTGTTCTTTTTTCTTTTCTTTCTTTTCTCGTTCTTGTAGAGGTCCTCCCGGCACCAGCTCTGATCCCGGTCGAAGAATGGGAATCCAGATGATATAATTTGCAAGAGATCATCTCGAGCCGACGAAGAAAGAGAGCGGTGCTCCTTCCATTTGTCGTCTGATGTCGAGCACCCGCGAACCTGAAAGTCTAAGCTGATGCTTGCTTGATTGCTTGATTGATTGCTTGATTGATGTTCGATACATTCTATTACTTATATCCAGCATCGGATATCATTCCCAAGACATCTGTCTTCTCTTTTTTTTTTCCCACCCTCGATCGAGTCGCCCACCTTTTAAAATCACCTATCAATAATAACATCATCGTCACAAACGGGGAGATCTCGAAACAATAAAAGAAAGGAAAAAGTAAGCACACACAAACCCTTCATTTTTTTGGATTTGTAGTCGAATTCGGGAAATCTTGGAGGCAAGCATGGGCAATTTACCTTAGCTGCGGAAGCGAAGCACCTTCCTGTTTCCTCGTTTTGGGCACCAATTAGAGGTCGAGAACCGGCATTATCAGCCAGCATTTTTATTCTTATTACCCGTATATACCTACATACACTCCGCCGACAAAGAGGGAGAAGAGAAAGAAAAAAAAAAAAAAAAGGAAGGAAGGAAGGAAAGGAAGGCCTGTGCAGGACAGATACCGGTACATCCATACATACTGTGTATGTACTTACATACATAGTATACCCATATCTTCAGACTTTCGACAAGCTTTTGGATACAATCTTGCTTGCTTGCTGGGAGGGGGAAACCTAAAACTGGGCGACAAGCACGAACCAGGAAGTACAACAGAGATCGAGATACTTCTCTTCATGCTTCTGTACCCCATAACGTCTGCAGGCTGTACATATGTACGTGAGTACATGTATGTACCTTGATCCTTACCTCCAGCCAATAAATCGCGGTCTTTTTTATTCTGGTTTTCGTTATTTTCTATTTCATCTTTATATTCGCATTTATATTTATTTTTTTCGAGAGGAGGGTTATCCTGATGGCAAAAAGGTAATTTCTGAGTCTGTTTAAATATCTGGACCTTTGAAGCATTTTATTATATACTACTACCTGTGGAGTATATGCTGCAGGGTCTCCGGCATATTTTTGATTCCCTGACCTTACCTTACCTTTACCTTACCTTACCTTACCTTAACTTACCTTGCCTTGTCTGGCCCATCGTCGCTTCCCTTCCTTGCAAATTGGGGACTAAATTGCTGCTTGCTGTGCTTGCTGCTTGCTTGTTTTGGCCTCGTTTCCCAACATCCCTCATCCCTCTTAACCTGTCCGTCCTCCACCTCCACCTTTACCTCCACCTCCAATCCTTTCTCTCTTCTCCCTCTCCAACCATCCTCCAGAAATCCTCCTGCCCGCCAGGATTTCACATAGATCTAGAGATCTGTTATAGATCCTAGAATCTTTAAAGCCTCCAGAAGAACCTCCTTGCAGGGTATTCTTCAGAGGTCCACGGGTGCCATTTTATATCCCGTGGCCAGTCCATCGACCCGACACCGACGACGACAGCCTCGATTCTTTATTCGGCAGTCGACAGGTTATCCTTTCTTCCATTGTTTAATTTTTTGATGACACGAATTTTATTTTAACGTATGAAATCTTTTTCTTTCTTTCTTTCTTTCTTTCTTTCTTTTCTTCTTTTCTTCTTTTTCTTCCCTTCCCTTCTTACTATTCAAAAATTGTTTTGGTCTGATATATTGCTTTTCATCTTGTTTTTCTTCCCTTTCTTTTCCTGTTAGTTTGGAGGCTTTACTGGATCTGGAACCACCTTTCCCCTCCTGACACGATCATACATTACATACACACTTCATTTATTACTTATTACATACTTCCACACGCACTCCTCCTACATACATACATTCATACATACATACATACTCCTCTTCCTCTCTTGATTGTCACTGTCACTGTCATTGTCACTCGATCATTCCACCGACATGGGATGTCGATACCGGACTTCTCACCCGCTTAGGGCGAAATCTGGATAGTGGAAGCTGGACAGAAACATCAGAGAAGAGGCAGCTGCACCTACCCGTCAAGGTGGAATTATTGGCCGACTGTGCAGACGGTCAGCTCCTCATTTCTGAAAACAAACCACCCAGGTCGGCTAGTGTGAGCCAGTAAGAAATAATAATAAACTTGGGCCAGCGACCCTGACCGAGCTCGAACTGCGGCCGTGAAACGCTGGGCCGTGTGAGTGGTGTTTAAGGCTGGTTCGGTCGGTCAGACCGCCACTTTAACAGGACTTCTTCTTCTCCCCCCCATTCTATTCTGTCCTGTCCTGTCTGGTTCCATCCCATCCCTCCCTTCTTTTTTCTTTTCCTTCCTCTCTCTCTCTCTCTCTTCTCTCCAGGCCTGAGATCGAGTCGAGTCGAGTCGAAGTCCAAATCCAAGGCGAATCGATTCGAATCGACAGGCATCCTCGGCATCCCGTCGACACCGCCATCGTCGTTCGTAGCCGTCTTCGTCTTCGTCTTGCTCCCTTTTCTGTCGTGGTTCCGTCACCTGGCAGTTCCCGAACACCGCTGCCTGTCATCTCAAACTCCACCACCTGCCACACACACCTTACCACACCTCGCTCACCTGCACACTGCACTCTCCCACCCCGCCATCTTGGAGACGAACAGACGCTTACATGCCCTCGTATATTAAGTAACACGGCTGGATTGCTCCTATTGCTTCCGGTCTCAGTATATCTTGTCTGTCTCTCCGTTCTGGTTTCCGCAATTATCATTCATTCTTCGTTCGTTCCGAGGCGCAGCCCGAGGATATTGTGAGAACATCCTGGCCTGGTGCAATACAATACAATACAATACATCACAATACAATACAATATAAACAACAGAAAGAAGCTGCTCTTGTCGAAGAGATTCACTCGAGTAGATCATTCTTCCATTGTATTTATATTGCATTGTACTCTATTGTATACTGTATCGCCTTTTTTTCACCATTCTGGCCTTTATACCAAGTCCGGATAACTTCTTCCCAGGAGGTAATATTACTAGAAACATCCTGCTATTCTATTCCTCTTCCATATTTCATATTATCATCTTGAAACTGTTTAAAAGAGAAAGAAACGGGCATAATATCATTTCGTCATCGCCATATTTCGCTCTAACTGCTAACAGACCTCCTGTCTGTTGGCTTGTTCTGTGTGTCTGTGTGTCTGCGTGTTTCTACTCTCTCTATCTCACGCACTCTCTCTATGCATTGCATGTGGCACCTCCACCTCCCAAGCTGCTTCAGGATATCCCTTCATCGTCATATGTCTCTGTCTCTGCTGTGCCTCAAATCCAAAGTCCGAATCTAGTCAAGCCTGAAATATCTGTGGAGATGCAAGTAGTATCAACAAAATAATAATTTGCTAACCGCTGTCCTAATCCAATAATAGTCACGCTCCCTTTGAGACGACGATATCCTTATATTTCTTCTCCATTTTCGTCGGAATTAACTTTTCGGCGGACCCAATTCTTTAACTTAACCTCCTAAAACCTCCAACATCTCCCACAACATCCGCCATATGTATCGCTAAGATGGATCGTGAAGACGGGTAAGGGTTTCTGTTTTTTATTATTTTTGTTTGCCTATTAATCTATTCCTCTCGGATACGTGCTTTGCTTTCGTCTGGCCTGTTCTGGCCTGGCCCTGTTTGGGAGAGCCGACCGGGTTGGAACGAAACACCACAAACAACTACAACCATCCATCCACTCACAGACGTCGACTAATCATCATAATCCTTGCTTCTAGAAACTACTTCATCAAACATCTGGCGACCTACATCAGGACCCATGAAAAGGCCCTCGCCAATGCTCTTCAATTACAAGCCCGGAGGCCGTCCAGATCGGCCGATGGCCAAACATCTCCCACCCATGCTCCGGCCACGAGCCCTTCGGCATCGAGCGCGCTCGCCGCTGCATTCTCACTCCCGTCTTTATCCTTCACCTCCCAGAACCTAAAACCGGCCAAACTCGCCCTCACACCTCATCATCTATACTACCTCCTGGACCGGTTTGATGCCCTCGGAATATCCGTGGGTCCAATGAACGTTAGACTCGAAAATATCCACGCTGAAACTGCGCCCGGAAACTATGTATCATTCCTCGACTCAGCCCAGCGTGCCAGACGGACAAAATCTACCGATGCCTTATCGATACATTCCGTCTCTTCCGTCAAGAGTGTCATGTCTGGCATGTCTTCCCTCTGGAACTCGTTTGGGCTAGGATCCAGCTCCGCTTCAAAGCAAGAGAAGACCAAACAGGCGATAAACATGGACCTCAAATACATCTATTCCGCTTTCACCAAGATTCCCTGTCTCAAATTATGTCCTGATCCGAAAGCTCGTCTGATCAGTGGCTACGAAGAATTTCCCTTCGACACTGCTGTGCCACTTTTGGCATTTAAGAATGTCACTGCCCTCGAAATCGTGGACATTGATATCAGACAGTTTTACGGATGGGATCAGGTTGCCGAAAGAGTCAGGAGCCTTGTTGTAAAGCGTGCCTGTATTGAGGATCCAGCCGAACTTCTCATTGCTATTGTTTTGGATGATATGGATAAGCGTAGAAGACGTTCTTCAAAGAACCAGGCATCGCCATTGAGCTGGTCAACACCCAGCCCTGGCATGCCATTAAGTATCGATACCGGTTCTATTCCTGGCTCTCCAGGAAAACAGGGGACGGAAGAGCAGGGTACAAGCGTCGGCAGTACCGGTTCGACATTGCGTGATCGTTCCGCTGTCAACCGGCCTGTCTCGCGAAATAGGGATAGGGATAGTAGCAATTCGCCTACTCGTCCTAATAGCTCCCGGAGCAGTTCTACTACTAACAATAACAGCAACAATAATAACCACCATAGCAATCACCACGCTCACAAATCTCACCGGATGCGACGGTCTGACTCTGGCAGCAGCCGTGCTTCTTCTAATGGCACAAATCAATATGGCACGACTACTCAGAGTATCAGCTTGATGGGGACTCTTCCTTCTAACAAATGGCGTTTCCTGCGTCATCTCTCCCTCGCGGATAACTCCCTGACAACTATATCTTTCGTTTCTCTTGCCCCTCTTGCTAATTCCTTAACATCCCTCGATCTATCATCTAATCTCTTCATCACCGTTCCTGATGCCCTTTCCACCCTCACAGCTCTCCGCGCACTCAATCTCTCCAACAACATGATCGAATCACTACACTCCCTCACTCGCCATCCACTTCCCGCAATCACCGCACTTAACCTTCGTGGGAACCGTCTCAAGTCTCTTGCTGGGATCGAGAGACTCCCTTCCCTTGAGCGCCTCGATTTGAGAGAAAACAAATTATCCGACCCAACGGAGCTTGCCCGATTAACCGTCGCTCCTAATTTTCGAGAAGTGTGGATTTACCCAAATCCGTTCGTCAGGACCCACAATTCCACTTACCGAGTCACCATATTCAACCTCTTCCGAAAAACACCTGGGTTCACAGAAGATATCACCATTGACGCTCAAGGCCCTGGAATGATGGAGAGACGACAGCTGTTGGAACGAGCAGCCGAGCCAATCCCGGTACCCGTTGTCAGGCCAGCCGTAACGACAGCTCCTCCTCGCGAGATCGTTCGCGAGACTAGACCGGCCCCCGCCACTCATTCGAGAACGCACTCAGAAAAGGGCTTGATAACGACACGGCCCACGGATGACCTGACTCGTGCAAGAAAAAAAGGTGCCAAACGGCGAGTCGTCGAGCTTAGCAAGGGCGACGGTGGTTCCGAGATATTTACGACAGCAGATCGAGCCCCAACCTTCTCACCGGCTGATTTCCAAGTCCATCGCCAACCCACTGCGCCTGCCATACCGACCTACTCAACTCGACCTCAATTCCCTGCCTCGCCACCTTCACCTCCGACATCAATACGAAAAAGTCATACTATCAACATTGATGCGGAGACCCCACCCACACCGCCAGCCAAAGAAATAACTCTTCCTACGAACTTAACGCCAGGCGAGGATTGGACGCTTAAGGGGGACGATTACAAAAGAAGGGTTGAGCACCTAAAGAGCGAATATGGAAATGGATGGCTCAGTGCCCTCGCTGATGAACGATGGAATAACAACCCAGGAGGTCCTCAAAGCCCTCCTAATCGAGATGCCCAGGGATCTCGAAGATAGTGCTCTACTCCCCTTCTCGTATCCCTCGACTTTTACCCACAATACCCTCTCTCGCCTCTACCCGTACAACTACCCCCACACGCAATCACGAATCACGGTTCACCCTTGCGCTCTAACGGCTGATATACCCATCTTCTCCCTGGCGGATCACTGTACGATATATGTCGATGACGTTTTTTTTTTTTTTTACATTTCTTCCCCCGAAAATTTTTCGTCTAGTCTGTTCGTTCAGACTATCCACTTCGGTGTTTTTAACTTTTTCTTTAATACTGTATGACATGATGATGTATTATCATTCTCTGTTCTTCAGCATTTCTCCGTCCCGTGGTTACTCTGTTGTTTTTGCACAGCATCGTTCTGCTACTTCTCTCGCTATTTTTTCTTGCATGATTCCCCTTGGGCGGTAATCAAACCGGGTTGTTTCTTAGCTTTTTGTTCACTTTGGCGTTTATGCTAGCAGTTTACTTCCAATCTCGGGACGCTATAGATTGTTCTACTTTTTTTCTTCTTTTTTTCTTTTACTTTCTTACTCTCTAATTATACCAACTAAAAAGGAGCGAAGATGTTCAGAACTTGAAGGTGTTTCCTTGAAATTCTTCTTATTTCTTCCATTTTTTCTTTATTTCCATTTTCAATTCTATTTCTTGGATGTTCAGTGGAGGGAAACTTTTGTGATAGCAGGCGATATGTGTTTTTTTCTTCTTCTTCTTTAGGATTTTTCTTACTACAGGGGGGATCTTCGAGGAAATAAATACAAGATTTTTTTTACTCTTTCCATCTATCTGCAAGTATAACATTTTAGATATTGTGATGAATCGACGGTGATAAGAAAAGAAATTCAAAGAGATCACTGTGCAAATTAGGTACTTGATGCATATGCATATGCATCTATCAGCTTTTTTTTCCCTTTTCTTCTCCCTTTAAGCCTTTCGTTGCAAATCCCCATGCTGAGCTGAGTCGGAGAGTTTTTATGAGTGGAGAAAGGCTTTTATTACCACAGTTAACAGTTTGTTCGATCTTGTAATTAATTCTGTAAAGAGAGGGGAGGCCCGGGCTATCATAGCCATCCAATGACGAAGTGCAGCATGCAAAGCCCAGCCAGCCCGGTCGATCGGTTTGGATTCCCAAAGAGATCCAAAAAGCCGTCCTCGGATCTTGCATGCCATGAAAAATAGCCCCCCAGTTGTAAGTTCTTGGGAGGGAAAGAAAAGAAAAGATAGTGTATCAAAAAAAAAAAATACTGGCATCATAAGTGTGAGAATTGAAGGCTCAGAGAAATATTTTCTCTTTTATTTTTTTTTCTTCTTTTCTTTTAAAATTTCCTTTTGGATTTCCCTTGCTTACCTGCAAATATATCTCCGGCGGGAAGTCCGGTTGGGGTGGTCTCGAGTATCCCGGTTGGGTGTGTGTATGTGTATGTGTGTGGTTCCATGGTGTGTGTGTGTGTGTGTCGACATTTCCATTCCCGTACCCCTCACTTCCAACCAACCTGTTATGTCGCACAGAAAGCCGAGAAGAAAGAAAGAGACCAAAAAAAACCCGAGGGCTTGCAGATTGCGAGTGCGACTTTAGGTATCCACTATCTCTCTAGTTTATGGCGTAGTTGTGCGTAAATATGAGAGTAGGTCAGAGGTATGTATGTTGCATGAGGGATAACTAGCCCATGATGGTAGGTGATCCGATGTGGATACCGTATGCATGGAGAGGTACGTACAGCTATTGGATGGGAAACGAGGACCGATGTTCAAAAATACGGTCCGGACCTGTCTAAAACTCAGCTACTACGTCAGGTCGGCATTTCTTTATTGTCTCGTATGTGAGTAATTGCATAGATGTGTACCTCGACTTCGCCTGCATATACAACTTGGTCTTAGATTCGCAAGGCGATTTTAGAGGAGGCTTAAGTTTAAGGTCAGGCGCGCAAGGGTGAATTAGTGATCGGTTCAAGATATATAAAAAAAATATAAAAAAAAGGTGGCAATCAAGACAAGGGGGGAATACTATCATGGGATCGTACGTGTGGGGTCGATGGTGTGGATATCATGTTAGGTGATTATGGCGGGTGACGGACGGGACAAGGTCTGGCCATGTTCAGGCGGCCGTATGCAAGATTATCGATTAGTTATCTTCAGATCTCGCAAAAGTAACGATAGGTTTATGTAAGAAATATGTACATGATCGATTTATAATTAATGACGGGAGACTAGGTTGCCCTTTAGCTCTCCTCCTTTATTCCTGGACTATTCCCTCTTCCTCCAGGCCATTCCTCTTTCTGTCTCCTTTGCAAGATACCCTAGTATGTATCCCTAGTATCTGCTTGATATCTGTTGTACTACCTCAAAGATCCAACCATGTTTTATTTGTACCGGAACGTGGTGATTTCTGAATTCTTCACGTCCCACTTGAAATATGCAGATTTAAAGACTGCACTGCCATATGTAAGCGCCCCCTCCTTCGTCTTCAATCCAAACCTACAGGTACAACTGCCACCTCCGCAACTATAACTTCCTCGATAGAAGGCTCTCGGTTCAAATGGAATACTACCAGTCCCCCATGGAAGTGTAACTTTAACACCCTGTTTCTTCGGCGAACCATCTGGGAACTCCCCGTCTTTGATATAGCACGGATAACTACACCTCCCACCGCTACAACTTCCACCATAAGCCGCCGCTATAGCCTTTAAAGATCCACTATCCAAAGCGGTTATGGTTGCGCCGGTATCCAATAGAATCTTATCATCGGCAGTGAATTTTGTGGTTTCGGGTTTTCCGTCTGAACCAGTGACCGTGACGGCCCAACCGTCTGAATCGACGTACCAGTTCTTGGAATCGATGGATTTGACGGTGATACCAGACGAAGAGTCGTAGAGGGATGAATCGGCCATACAGTCGAAGCAGAGGGACCAAGTTTCTTCGGCATCGGATTTGAGGTAGGAAGTCCAGTAGTCGAAGTTACCGGATGTAGTTGGAAGTGTGTCAAGACGTCCTGTGAATGTAAACCGTCCACGTTAGAATCTAAACCCATAAAAATACAAATAGTAAAAAATATCATAACTAAATTATAAAAAATAAAAAAACATACTCGGTGAAGACCTAGACCTTCCAGCTCTACACATGCCCAACAAACCATTCTTTTCCTCCCATAAGGGTTTCCCATTATCCCCCTTTATATCGCTGGCGACTTGAACATATTGTTCCTCGATTTGAAATCCACCGATTGGCTTTTGAGAACCGAAGGTGTCTATTACTATCGTGTCACCTCGGGCTTCGAGTCCATCGTTGTAGGTTTGTTTGAAACTCGAGGCTGTGGATGAAGGTACTCTTGGTGCGTCGCGCGGGTCGTAGCAGTGTGTTTGGGTACGGCATTCTGAGGCTTTGGGACCGACGACCCAACTGTTTTGATATTTGTAGTTAGTATTTTTTTGATACTTATGCGCTTTATATTATGAAGACGGTGCTATATATATTACGGGTCTTAACCCGGAGGGGTTGACATACGTCCCGCAAGATCCGGTATCGATTAACAAATCAATCGCTTGACCTCCAATAGTGAATTCTCCCAGAAACCCTGCGGCTCCCCATTTCACGGAGACGGAACCGGGTTGACTTGTGCGTTTGATAAGTGGGATTGCGGTGGCTAGTTGAAGATGAAGAAGTGGGAATATCAAAAATGTCGTTGACTTCATTATGGTAAGTATCGTGAGAGAGGGGGGGTATAAACTGTGAAGTTTAAAGAAATTCGAAGGTAAAAAGTATAATAGAGAGCTAGCTCTGTGATTCGAAGAACTATAAAAGACGATATTACAAGATAAATCTGATTAATTAATATATCTCTACGTTATTGAAAGGAGAAGTTGCCGAGCCTGTTGAGCCAAAAACCTTGAGTTCGTGATACCATCTCGATCGTTTTATAGAGGTCTCGGAATATCTAGATTACCATAAGAGTAGCTCTAGAATTATTTCGTTATTCCAGAAAACTTCTATCCGGGTTTACGAGACCAATCTGGGTAGTATCTGTATGCATTGAAGGAAACGGCGAGAGGTGCGATATCTCTTTTTCCAGATGAGTCCAAGGCTTCGAGAAGTTTATGCGGAATTTCGATTACGCGATGATGGACCTAATATCGATAGTGGTTTATGATGGCAAACAGTTTTTTTTTTTTTTTAACTACCCGGTTGCATTGAGGCTAGCTAAGAAGGATACCTTCTGAGTGTTAAGAGCAGTATAGCGTTTCAAAATAGCTATATATCGTAATTTGGTATGGTAATCTTTCTAACCATGATTCTTCGAGTCGAGAAGTAATGGGGTTTGAAACCGATTGCTTAGCGATATCCGGTGAGATTGGTGAATAGCTGTTCCATCCGTTTCAAGAGTGAAACGTCAACAAAGCTTGTTTTCGATATTATCGTATTTACCACGTCGAAAAGCTTTAAAGGTATTGGTAAGGACCGTAATAGGAAATATATGGTTGAAGTTAACGCTTCCATGCTATTGTTCATGCGAAAGGCGGGTGTGGCATGCGTGCGACCGTGTTGCATTTTGGTATAATTGCCTAATTGGGAACGCTGTGAAACGGGAGGACTATATTTGGAAGAAGTTCTCGACGGGTTACCTATTTCTGGATGGGTTATCAGACTGGCCCTTTGATAGATGTTAAGGGAGTTCGGTGATCGGTTTGTTTAGCTTGAGGTTGTACGGCAATGGTAATAATTGGCTTCAATTGGTCTTGCGGTCAGTCGAGTCTGAAGGAACCTCCCTCCAATCGATTTCCTACTTTTGTTATTATTACTGTGTAAGCCGAGTTTACCGGTCGAAATCTTCGAAACCAAATCAAGTAATTGGCAGGCATCAACAATCGAACGTTGCTAGGCCTATTGTGGTGAATCCATTGCTTTGAACCACCTATAGAACTCAAAGATAGACGATGCCGTGGAACACTTCGCTTCCTACACTGCATTTTGTTATACCAGAGCCTATTGGTCTCGAAAGGTTGAAATTGTTATGCGTATGCAATGTTTACGAGGTCGTGTCAAACCTCACGCCATGGTAGATAGTTGAGGGCTTTTTTCTTCCGAGGGAAAGAAAAAAAAGCCAGAGACTTGCATAGGTAATGTGATTATCGTATGTATCATCTAGAAGATTTTTTCGCCAGATATCACCGGGGTGCATTGATATCTACGAATGGCATTTGAGGATTGATCGAGGGGGTAGAACTGCAGAATTAATATTTGTAAGAAAAAAATAAATCTGAGATATGAGAAAGAAAAAGAGGGAGGTTATCGGAAGACAAGTCTTGTATTGCGCTGTCTGAAGACAAGCTTCAGGGAGTTCCGCCAGAGATATATCAAAAGTCAGTAGTGCTATATATACGACCCATTGACTATCTACAAATATTTCGGACCGTTGCTCGTATCGAAATACCCTCAATACCCGCTTGAACCGGCGCCCAGAAGATACTCAGGCTCAGATAACGATAACGATAACGATAAACCCCGCCGTGGTCTAGAACCTAGGTTCTGTGAAACATTGGAGGGGTAAAAGAGTGGCAAATCTTTTTTTATTTTTATGCATGGTGAATAGACACGCAGCCATATCGATGTTGACGAGGTGTGCCAACCATAAGAAGCATATTGTTGGGAAATATTATTATGGATTATTCGGATTTGGAATGCAGGATGTTTCTATATTGTGAAAATGTCTGCCGAAAACTGAAAGGAAAACAAAAAAATTTTGATACATCGTATTTAGAGGCTGATGGGTCAAGAGATGCCAGCTGAGCGATATATATTCGTCCTTGTCCCTTCGAGAGAGTTGATCATGCTAGTCTTTTGGTGGCTGCACTTACCATGGGCTAGGCATCGCATAAGGTTCACTTAATACATGCATGTTGTATTCGCCTTGCGTCTTCCTTTAAGCTAAAAGAGGCGAGCGGAAAAGCCGCATGAGATTAGCCTACCCAGTGCTGTGATATGTTCAGCGACTTGCCATTGCATCTTGAAGGGATGCCTTAGACTAAGTGAAAGAAAGGCCTAGAAACCGATGGTATATACTGAAGAGAAAAAATATTTCCATGAGCTCGCGCACTCGTACATACGTATACCGCAAGACACACATACATACATCCATGCATTGAAATAGCACTGAGGGGTAACATCGGCATCGACCACTGAGGGGTATAGGGGTAGTGTAGCTCCTCCTTGAATTTCTGCATGTATATGTGCATTAACGCTCTTGGGTCTAAGGGGGACATAACCGTTGGTTCATTCGCTGTCTTTTTTTTATTTTATGTTGGCGAGTTGCAGGATGCGGCATGCATGGAATTTTTCAAGGCGAACAGCTGACAGTGACCCCTGGTATTTATCAACGGCCCTGGTTAGAAACGGTTTTGATGGCACGGATTTGCAGGATTTTTTTTTTGTAGGGTTCGATTTCGGCGTAGCGGAGGGCTAGTATAAATTTGTATTGTTGCTAGAATGACATTTGATAGGTTTAAATTTACGAAAATGTGACGACGGCTTGGGATTTTCAAATGAGCTTGCCACTAAAATATCTGCAATATAATTATTTTCTGCATGTGAGTGCTATCTGAAGTAGATATCGATACTGCGTGTTATTGATTATCTACATTTTTTTGAAATTTCGAGGCGAAGATCGGATACATGATCATATAAATGATCATGATAATACATCAGAGGCTATCTTCCCAGGATGGTGACCACAGAAAGCATCGTATCTCGCCATCCGGATGGCCTAATGCCCATAATTGCAGCACCGGCCAAATCCCCAGGCTAATGCACGCCGGTTATATTTGCTGCACGACATACCAGGCATTAGACTTCCAGATAAGAATGTGTTGCTGTTGCATTTTATAATAAGCATCATATGATCGTGATATTGGATCCGAAAATGTCAAGTTGAAGCCGGAAATAGGTGTCTACGGATATATCTTGCGGTCACGCGGGATGACCCCTTCATTCTTGGGATCAACATAAGCAGCCAATTGACGCCATTTCCCCAGATTCTGCATAGAATCTGATTCGATAGCTTCGACAAAGGTTCGCATAAAAAACCGTTAAAAGCCGAAGCCTGGCATGGGAGAAGGAAAAAAAGCTAAGGTGTTCACGAGATGATAGGTATATGACTCTCCTCGAGGTCCACCTTGTTACATAGGTATTTACTAGTATCGGATTCTCTACCAACGGCAGTTTCGGATTCGTAATAATGTTCCCCGGTTCACTTTCTCGACGCACCACCCCCAGTTAAGTCCGTCAAACGGTGCATATCGAAAGTTGGCGGATCCTTACAGTGGCGTCGAGGTTCAAATGTCGTATCCCGGCACTCGCAGTAATATTCTCTCTAATATCGAAGGACGTTGATGCAACGTTTGAGAAGTTCGAATCCACACATCCCCGTAGACTGCAATCTGAACACCATAGCTTCTTAAGATGTCATGAGCAGTTAAAACGGTCGGTTTTACGTTTTCGATTCATGAGAACGAAATTAGCTTTTATGGTCTGGAATCCCTACAAAGGAGCGTGGTTTCTCTCACTCTTTCGAAATTTCGATCTCTCTTCCCGTTTCTTTGAACAAATTTAATTGTCAAGTGAAAACGTAACCCACTGTTTTAGCTTCTAGCTTGTTTATACATACTGCAGATGGCACAATTGAACTTTCTTGCTCGGTTGCCCTTGTTGAAGTAGATGCATTTGGGGGAGTAGTTGCTATGAATAGAAATTGGTGTGTTCCTCCAAAAACTTTGATTCGATCTTGCAAGCTTGTTGGTATCAGCATCGGGCGCTTTTGGGTGCTTTACCCGAGATACAAGGCCTTGCAAGCTACCTTGAAGAGGTGTCTACGGATCTTGGTGGCCAACGGGATTTTCGGTTGACGTAGAAGCCGTAAGACTCCTACCGGTTTTTTTTTTTTTTTTTTTTTTTGACTTCGAATTTAAAGCGTGAATTGGTTTTCCCCACTTGTCATTGCTGCTTGCCGTTACCTAAGTGTTTAAGGATATCGATCAGGGAATACTGGTTTTAGTCCCTAGAAGTATCGAATGATTCCGTGCTTATCAGACAACTGCACTGATAACTGGACTTTTCTGCCATCATACCTATCACTAGTACTACAGTATTCGTACTAGCGTAGTTAGACCCTACGGGATGTGTATATGGATGCGTATGGATGCGTATGGATGCGTATGGATGTGTATGGATGTATATGTATGTGTTCATGAAAGGAATAAATTCGACATCTGCGACCTCTGATGCCTTTGCCTTGCGTCTGCATTCTGCACATCTTCCAACGTACTTATCTCCTCAATTATATGTAAAACGATACGAATCGCTAATTTATTTTTTAAAAAACGAGAAAAAAAAAGAAAGAAAGAAAGAAAGAAAGAAAGAAAGAAAGAAAGAAAGAAAGAAAGAAAGAAAGAAAGAAGTGTAGTCAGTGGAGACATACCACGCGCCTGACCGACACTTATCTGCTTTATATATCCCCGAACCATCCGGGACTCGTCTACAGCCAACTTGCTCCCCAACATCATATTCGCGAAGCTAAGACCCTTGCCGATAACTGCTTACCTCCTACTTAACTCTCATCTAGCCAAACGGACTCAACCAGTTCACTTTTCTCGAAAAACAACTTCACGCAATCGATCCGTCTTTGAACATTTTCAGATTTCCCAAATCCGTATTCCAGTATCGCAATATACATACTTATACAACCAGCGTGAGTCTTTATAAATTTAGCAATCTCTTGCCTTAAAGTTCTCGACCTGCTTCCGCTGCAGTAACAAGGACCCACGAGACTTCGCCTTCGCTCGTAACCCAATGAGCGAAGCTGTCCACGTTTTCGTGCTTCCTACGCACAAACGTTCCATGAATCTCTACAAAGAAAAAAAGTTTTTCCCACGAGCTCTCCGTCGACACCGAGCTGTTTATGCATAGGTCACTTCCTTGTCATCGTGTCGATTGATCATCCTTTCGATGCTCACCTGCTCAGCAGTGCGAAGATACGGTGTTATCCTTTAAATCCTCGGTGTAATGTTGAGGTTCGAAGGAACAAAGGCACGAGACTTCCACCATGGATATGTCGTACAGACGAACTCGAGCCTTTTTTTCACCTTGTCGCTTTGATAGCGTCCTATCGAGCGGTACACCAATTCACTTTCGTCGAGAGCGTGTCCGCTTCGAGGTCTGGTGTAAAATTTTCTTTCAACATTTAGCCCTTTGCCGGGAGGTCTGGGCTCGGGCTTCCCACAACCCCCCCCCCTCCTCGCCTGCCTGCTAGTTCGAAGCTACATCTGGACCAATCCGCTGGTACAGACGCAGATTTTAGGGCAGAGGCTGGCTGCACGAGCATCGGTGCCTTTTTTTTGACCCCCCCCTACCTCTTTAGCATTGTTGTTTTTTCTTTCCCACTTTCCTGATTCCATATCAAAATCATAGAACGGTGTCTTGTGTGAAAATTTACATTTAACCATCGCCTGTTACTTGATCTCGTCTCCTGACGCCCTACTTCTGTTGCGCAGCTCGCTCGGTTCCATTTTCTTCTTCTATCTCGTCTCAACGTGATATATAAACATTACTTCTTCGATATCGATCCTCTTTGAAGCTCGAGCTGTATTATCAGCACACTGCGCCTTACAAGATCAGGTATATACCGTTCCCTTCCATTGTCTCTCTCCCCGGTATCGTCGAGGAGGGCAAAAAGTCGCGTCTCCAGTTTGAAAAAAACTGTTGGATTGGAAATCGAAAAACGGCGCCCCTATTCCTGCACTGTTTGCTTATGATACTTTTCCTTCTTTTGCTTTCTGTTCGCCTTCCATTACCTTGCACAGCCTGGTACAAATTTTCGTCGTCTCTTTCTCTCTCTCTTTCCCTCGTTCGTCTGCTATCTCTTCGAATTGAATATCCCTACATGTGTGCTTTGAGATAGTGACAAAGAGAACTGAACCGAACCGAACTGAACTGACTTGACATTTTTCAGATCCTGCCAGCTGCCCCCAGAATTTCCGAGAGGACAGACAGCTACATATAATATACTATATTCTTATATACTATACTATATTACACTGCCTGCGACCAGACCCCATTACCTCGCGAACAGTTGAACTCGCCGATAAAAAAAAATCTTTCTTTTTTTTTATTATTAATATTATTCCACTGGATATTCTCGTCATCGTCGAGGATAGCACATTTCACAAACATCAGAAATTTCGAGTAAATTGGAATTTCTGTTAAATTATTAAAAAAAAAGAAGTCGTTTTGGGAGAGCGAGTCCGCTCAGATCTGCTGCACAACAACAAAAGCCGTTGTCGTCTTGTTATTAGGAAGAAATCCCCAGCAAAAAGAAAACTTCCTCTTCCTCTCTTCCTCTTCCTTCTCCGCATCTGGCCAGAACACCATCTCAACAACAAGCTCACGACCTTCAAAAAAAGCCATATCTGCTCGATATCTGCTGCTCTACTCAATCCAGGCATTCATCATCTCTGCTGCTTCTGACCAGACATCTCAACTAGTCTGTCTTCCGGATATTTCGTCCCCCCGTCTTCTGCCCCCACGACATTCCTCCTCAACTTTCCGGCGAAGCGATATTCTTCTTCTTTTTTTTTTTTCTTCTCCCTCTGTTCTCTCAACAAACCCCTGTTCACAGTATTAGTCCAAGTTTCGCAGTTGTCACGTCCTCTTTTCCTTTCTCGAACAGAAGTACAGCTGTTTCGGTCCGTAGTTCAGGTATGCTCGATCTATTCCATCACCGTCATGCTGTTGGGACATTGTGGTGGCGATGTGGGAGAGACCAACCACACACCTGCCCACCCCCAGCGATGTCTTTGTCTTAATCTTCTCTAACCGGTTGTCCCTTTTCCGTACCAGTAACCTTATCAAATCTTACTCATCGTCTTATTTACCACAAAACCAGCGGCGCACACCGAAAATAATTCTTCATCTACAACCCCTCCCTCTTCCTTCTCCGATCCTCCCCTCCTCTACCATCTAGAATCCGTCCGTGCGTCCGTCCGTCGTCGTCGTTCGCTTATCTCCTTCACCAGCCACTCCTTTGGTCCTTTCGTCGTCGGTTCTGTCTGTTGCTTGTCTGTTTTCTACACGCTCCCGCTTCTTAGCAAGTCACCTTCGCGAGCCTTGTTGCCGTTGCCATTGAGATGGCGGATCAAGCAGATGTAGACCTCGATTCCATCATCGACCGTTTATTGGAAGTGCGAGGTAGTCGGCCAGGAAAGCAGGTCCAATTGCTAGAGACAGAAATTCGATTCCTATGTACGAAAGCTAGGGAAATTTTCATCTCCCAACCAATCCTGCTCGAGCTCGAGGCTCCCATAAAGGTATGTTGGACGCGTCCGAATTACACTGTAATAAGCATTGACTAGGGCTCCGCCGCTAACCTTTGTAACAACATCTAGATCTGTGGTGATATTCACGGCCAGTACTACGATCTCCTGCGTCTGTTTGAGTATGGAGGATTCCCTCCTGAAGCCAACTACCTCTTTTTGGGCGACTACGTCGACCGAGGAAAGCAGTCCCTGGAGACCATCTGCCTCCTCCTCGCCTACAAGATCAAGTATCCAGAGAATTTCTTTATCCTTCGAGGCAACCACGAGTGTGCATCGATAAACCGTATCTATGGCTTCTACGATGAGTGCAAGCGACGATACAACATCAAGCTCTGGAAGACTTTTACTGACTGCTTCAACTGCCTCCCAATCGCTGCGATCATCGATGAGAAAATTTTCACCATGCATGGTGGTCTCTCCCCAGATCTGAACTCCATGGAACAAATCAGGAGGGTCATGCGTCCAACTGATGTAAGCAGTTGCTCCCAACCTAGTAGCGATCTCTATGCTGATATATTGACCTTTTTTTCCTTCTGGTTCCTAGATTCCCGATTGTGGTCTGCTCTGCGACTTGCTCTGGTCCGATCCAGACAAGGATATCACCGGCTGGAGCGAAAACGATCGTGGCGTATCCTTCACCTTCGGCCCTGATGTGGTTTCTCGGTTCTTGCAGAAACATGATATGGATCTCATTTGCCGGGCTCATCAGGTCGTCGAGGACGGATACGAGTTCTTTTCGAAGAGGCAGTTGGTTACCTTGTTCTCCGCCCCGAACTACTGTGGTGAATTCGACAATGCTGGCGCTATGATGAGCGTAGACGAGAGCCTGTTGTGCTCTTTCCAGGTACCATGCTATTCCGAAGCTCGCGTGTAGCGTAGAATTCGATCGGCTAACACGTGTGGGTAACAGATATTGAAACCAGCGGAGAAAAAACAAAAGTACGTATACGGAGGTCTTGGGCAAGGACGGCCGGTAACACCACCCCGAAAACAGAAGAAAAAATAATCCGTTCGGGAACCGATCCCAACGCTTCGAATGAACATAACGAGCGACGGCAATACACTCCGATGACGCAGACACCCCCATCTTCGAGCGAGCGACGACGTTACTTCTCCACACCCTTTCAATTATTTCGAAAGCCTCACGATCTATGGAATACACGGATTTCAGGATTTGGATGCCTCTTTGTCACGAGCCCTTGTTAAACGACCACGAAGCCTTTTTTGCAATTCTAGCAGAGTCGATCAATTGATTCTTAGCACAGACTCTGTACTTCTACGACAAGAAAAATTTAACGCCCGTAACTATATCTTTCCTGTGGACCGGTTTTCCATAAAATGTGCCACTACGAACCTTTTATCTTTGTTTTCTGCACTTTTCGAACCTTCAAAGCTGTCCCTAACTTACATTTTAAACCACCCTTCTTTTTTTTCCTTTCTTTCTCGCCCTTGTTTTTGTGACGCGATAACGACCTCTGAAAAGAACACTTTAAAATACCTTTTAACCCGGAAAACAAAAACCTGGAAAAGAATTCTTTGACAATTCTAAACCATTATTATACACCCTTCCAAGAAAAGCTATCCCATGCGTAAGACAATCCGCTATCTCTAGCTTCGTAAATAATCTCCTTTCTCCGTAATAACAACCCACGGGTAAGATGATAGGTAACCTGTTCTTCACGGTTACGACGAATGTATACGCAGTAATTAGATAGTTGTATAAATACTAATTACACCGTTTGCCAATATAACATGGCCCATTAACTCAATTAATCATAAATTAAAAAGCTCATTTCCCAATTGTGAGGAAGAGTCGGTCACCACTAATGAGATACGTTAGCTTTGTCAGATGCAAGCAGACGGAACAGTTCCAGGGTTAGGTACTTACATGTCTCCGAGCCTATTATTTCCAACAGATTCACCGGCGTTCGTTAGTTAATGACTTTTCTCAATGATAAACGGAGTACATATAGATAATTTAGACTTCACTTACCCAGGTACAATCATTCCCTGAGGGGTTGTCTTTGGATCAATGGCTCCAAGGTAAACCTCCACGCCTTCGGGCCACTCTTCAGCAGCGTGGTTCACACCGGGTTTGGCACCGAGAATGCTGCATAGGATAATCTTCTTGACACCCCATTCCTTCAAAGTTTGGATTGCAGCGATAGCGGTACCACCGGTTGCGATAACAGGGTCTAGAATGATAGCTAGATCTGCTGGGGGTCCGGAATTGGCGGATGTTGTTGGGAGGTTGTTGTAGTATTCTACTGGAGATAGAGTGGCCTTTTCACGGAAGAGACCTAAGTGGTAGATAGCAGCAGGGGTTGGGAGAAGGTTATTGAAGGCTAGACATGATGGGTATCTGTGTCAGTTTATGGCTATTTTCTGGTCATCTCTTTTACGATGATCCATTTATATGGGGATATTTTGGGCCATAGTGTACCTTCAAGCATCCCAAGACCGGATCGAAGGATTGGAACCAAAACCACCTTTTCGGCGACATCTTCGACAGCATATTTTTCACCAAGAGCAGAGGTACCCTCTCCCGTTTGGATGGTGGTTAACGAGGTAGCTAATGCTTCTGCAGCTAGGAAGCTAGAGATCTCGGTGACGAGAGCTCTTGTTTCTCTGGGACCTGTGGCGCTAGATCGCAACTGGCTGAGCTTTGCGCGAACGCAAGGGTGCTGGGAGACGTGGATGTTTGACATTGTTTAAATCTAGGGAAATTTCCGAGAAGGGGATAACTTTCTGGGGTAAAATAACGGGAAATATTGTGAACTGATGAAGCTGAGATAAATGATGGCGATGGAGGTCCCGGGAGATGGGGAGGAGGATGACGAGATGAAATATAGTCTGTCTGGTCCCTGGAATGTTAACAGCTACCCCTTACTGAGCTAAGTTGTTTTCTGAACTTGAATTGAACTGAACTGAACTGAATTGAATTGAACACCATTGTTTTCTATCGCCTTCCTTCCGAAAAACAAAAAGGTCACAATTTCCAGCTAGCTGCAGCGGGGAGTTCTTCGAGATAGCAGAGAAAGCAAGCAATTGGTGTGAAACTAGCTCGAATGTGGACGTGGAGTTACACACATGACATCAAAAAACGCGCGGAGACCAATCAACGTACCCTTTTCTCTAATGAAGGCGACTTCTTTTTGATGTCGGAAAGGGGAAACCGATCACACGATGGTATCTTCTTTCTATTTTATATCTATACTATTTTATATTTATTTTTAAATGGCGGGGAGGTTTGCGTCTCTTTATATACTTGGAGGTTGGATGGTCTTCGAACGTAACTTTCAGGAAAACAATGCAATGGACAGACGACGACGCATCGGGAAGCTGATAAGCTTTCCCGCCTTGTTGATAGAACTAGCTTGGATGTTATATGGCAGATAATACATAAGTAATAACCTGGAAAAGAAAGGGACGAGGTTCTTGTGGAGCTAGATGCTAGCTAGCTAGCTTATGTTCCAAGATACGAATGCCGCTGATAAACGATCGATTGCTAATTGTTGGTGTGGTTTTTGTCGGGCGGTTCCGTGCACTCTTGGAAGCTTGCCCGGAGGCTCGCCGCGAGACAGGCAAGGGTATATTGGAATTTAGTTAGTAATATTATATGTGAGGACGGTTATAATTATATTATGCTTGGTCGTAAAATGAGGCTTTGAGCCCGAAGTTCCTCGTGACTTGCGGGAAGTTTTGTTTCGTAATACAGAGCCCCATATCAATGCTTGATATAAGCTATAAGATGATGGGTTACTACTGGCAGTCTTCGCAGGCCTTTCGTTCGGCCATTACCACCTGTATTCCAAGACTCTCTTGACCAGAGGTACCACCAGTCTGAGTATCATCTGGCGATTCCTGTGGAGCATTACTGGCCGATTGATCCGATTGCGTCTGCGAAACGGACTTCTTCTTGCCATCGACATGGCCGAGGTCTCTGTTGGGATCAATGATATCACGGACTTTCTTCTACAATCATTTCGACAAATCATATAAGTATTGATGGAGTAATGATTTTGGAAAAGAAAAAGGGCAGAAGCACCTTGAGTTCCTTTGTCTCTGGGAAACCACCGTTGCTTTTGCGATCCCATATCACATGCGACTCGAGAACTGACTGTTCATTGAGGGTTTCAAGTATGATAATGAATATACCTCCGGTTGAAGGACGGAGAGATACCTCTCCTAGGGAGGTAGAGAATGTTTGAAGGAGTTCTTGGGCATACTATTGTTGGAGAACCCAGGTTTCATCAGACAAAGAATATCTTTTTGGATGCAAAGTATGCACAAAACGGGAGCAAAAAGTGGGCAAGTTATGTTGGATTGAATTGTAAGTATTCTATAGATATATTGTATTCACTGTTGGCATGGTATAGACGCACTTACATACGCCGCTCGAAGGTTCCACTTGCACTGGATGCAGAACTGAATGGAGATTCTCGGGACAGGAGCCGTGACCGAGGCAGTCCTCGGGGAGGAATTCGAGTCTGCCATTCTTTCACCTCCCTTTCTTTGTCTGGAATCTAGGTGATTAAGATTAATTCCGAAGAGGCTGAGCTGATTGATTGAATGAATGAATGAATTTGAATGAATTTGAATGATCGTGGATGAATGAGGGAGTTTGTTAGGTGCATTGGGCGGTGACGGTAATGGTAAGAATAGCAATCAGGCTGGGCTTAGTCATCCTGTTTTCCTGCCAAACTTGATATTTCTTCATTTTTTGTCTGCAGTGCCCCAAAATCTGGCTCTTCACCACCAACCTCATCACTCTTCATCGTCACCATTATCATCACCACTCCGCACGCTCCTACTCTGCTTCATTCCCGGAATTCCAGTCAACCATGTCCTCCCGTGGCGGCACCACGCTCTATGTCACTGGCTTCGGCCATGGCACTAGGGCACGCGATCTCGCATACGAATTCGAAAGGTACCGATCGAAACCGATCCCTCCTCCTCCTTAACAGTTTCCTCCTGAACACCTTCGATGCACGTTGACGGCGGACTCCGTATGCGGAAGATCTCGAAATCCAACTTGTTTCCCCTCAATGTCCTCGTTAGACTTCTCTCTCTCTGTGTCCCCCCGTTTAAGGTCCTTGCTAGTCGTCGGCGGAATCATACGTATACGGTCCCTATCGACCTTTCTTTGCTAGAGGAGATTTCCTTTTTCTTCTATCACCTCTCCCATTGTCCTACCCCCATAGTACTATTTCCTTCGCTCGCCCTAGCGGAAGTCATCCGATCGAACCGATCGAGCTCTCATCGTCGCCGTCGTCCGTCGATATCGGCCTTACAATCCTTCCCCTCATCCTCCTCTTCCGAGCGAAGCAATTACCACGTAGCCAATAACATGTCCTAAGTGAAAAACGCGTTTCTAACGACTCTGCCTTCGGTTTTTTCGTTGCCTACAGATATGGACGCTTGGTCCGTTGCGACATTCCTGCTCCACGAACTGCAAGCAGCCGACTGTAAGTCTCAGAATCCCTGTCTCCCCGTCTGGTCGCCGATGTTGCAAAGCTTGTAGCTTGTTACATCCTCGGAACTTTCCCTTGGAAAGAAAGCAAAAAGAAGAAGAAGATAGAAAGGGACTCGAAGCTGACTACGAACACTTGGTTCTATGTGTTTCTTCAATCTAGATTTGCATTTGTCGAATATGAATCTCGTCGGGATGCCGACGACGCGTATTTTGAGATGCATGGACGTCGTATTGGACGTGATGACATCCTAAAAATTGAGGTTCGTACATATACCAATCACGCCAGGGCCATCGAGAACCCTCTCTAACACTTCTTACTTCGAATTAGTGGGCCCGAACCCCTCCATCTGCTTCCTGGAGGTTCGAAGGAGGTCGTGATGCCCCAAGGCGCCGTAGCCCTCGCCGCGGTCCACCACGATCTGCTTCTCCTCGTCGCCGTGAAGGCCGTGAGGAACGCGGTTCACCAAATGGGAGAACTCGCGAGCGTAGCCGTAGCCCCGCCGGTAAAGAGGACCGTGACCGCGACGGTGATCGCGAAATGAGAAGCCCAAGAGATGAGAGAGACCGTGAACGTGATAGAGAACGCGAACGCGATCGTGATCGTGACAGCCACCGTGAACGAGAACGTGACCGTAAGTTTTTTCTTCCCACCTATGATATCCCAATAATAAAAGGGGAGCCTGGCTAACATATCCACCGTAGAAACTCCACCACGTCATGATGACCTTGACACCGCTGATGCCGAATAGAACACAGCTCAGAATGGGCATGTTATCGTCTAAAAAAGCATCCTCGCCATAGTTTCTCGACAGGGTTCTTTTTTATCTCGATTCTTCACGATTGATATCACTTTTTTTTTTTTTTTTTTTTTTTACACTAAGAATGAAAAGACAAAAAAAATCGACTCCACAAACTTGCTTTACCGTTGTTACGAATTTGCTACATAGTCTCCTCGCCGGGATCGCTTCAGAGAGACGGCATGCTGTAGACACCGACTTCCCTTATCTCCTTTCATCGCTGGTTTCTCGGATCATAGGGCTCGCGGTAGACGGGGGCGTCCTCATCAATATTATCCGTTCTTGCTTTTATCAATGTTTTGCAATCACATCGCTCTTCCTTTCTGCACCCTTTCCCTTTTTAATTTGCCAGCCCCTTCTCGTAGTGGATTCTATTTTTATTTATTTTTTGTCTAGGGGAGAGAGATCGAAGAAAGAAAAAAAAGTCTCTTGTGTTACTCGTTATTATCTTTACTACAACGTTCTTTCAGTTTTCAATGTTCTTTTTTTTCCCGTTTCGTGCACAAATATCGCCAGTAGATACTTAATCTAGGATACATAAGGAATGGAATCGGAAATCTTCTATTCTAAGATTTTGCTCTAGGATTATCATATTAACTCGCGGTGAGGCATGCCAGCGAGATGAATTATATGACAGACGGATTATAACTCACTGGATCATCCGCGGAGGATAAGCTTATAAGAAGTGGGAGGGGGGCAAGAGGGAAGGCGTTCCGGAAGCCTCGTTATGGGATCTACGAGACACTACAGCCGGGATTCTTTGTGCAACCTTGGGACGCCTAGTCCCCAGTCGAAGATGTGTTGATACTGTGGTCATAAATACATAGAGCTAGACGTATACAGGCTACACAAATATGCACACACACATACACACACATCCTGGCCGTGGGAAATCGCACGGCACTCGTGCATTACCTATGCATGCAATGTTTGACCAAGTGGCTAGGGGATAGTACTTGTAGATGGAAGGAAAATGGGTTTTGTGGTGTCTACACACCGTTAATACCCGGTGATTGGTTCGAAATGCGACCAGGGGTATGGCTTGTTCTGTGGTGCATAGTTGTATTATAAGCTAGGTACGTACCTATGTACTTGCCTATTGATGATATATTTTTCCGTTTGAGCTGTGAAGGTAACGACGCCATAATCACCTGTTGAAATTATATTAGGTATATTTTTTTAAAAAAAAGTGATTCTTTAGCTGTCGAGAGCTTAGCTATAAGGGAGAGGAGGGGGGTAGGGGGCTTTTGGTTTTCCGGGAAGAAGGGGGGGACATCGTCTATGCATATGGTTATACGTATATAGGATAATTATAACGGATATATTATCACAACCGGACGGCTCATAGCGCTTCGGCGTAAAATAATTAAGTCGTTGGATTAATTCGAGTGGTTTTTTTTAAGAAAAAAAAAGACATGCAAGGCCGGCGGCATTCAAGGATATTTTCTTTCTTAGAATGCATAGACGGTATTATACTACGGAGGCCTTAAAACGATCCACTTATTAACTAGTACGTTTAGGTAACTAGGTATATTATGCATTACTTTTTTGGGGATTCCGCGTCGTTAGAAAGCGTGCGGCGTTTCTTGCACAGTTGTTCATATATGCAAGTGGGAATACAAAATGTACATACTGTGTATGTGTCTTTTGGACAAATTGTGGGTACCTGGTCCCTCTTCCCTGGATTCTTCCGTATTATTGTTTTTTTATTGTTTTTTGCGTTCTTTCTTTTTCGATTCTGCCGTTTGTTTTTTGATATCCGAATTATTACGGAATACGAGATGGGGTGGAAATTGCCGGGGAGAAGCTTGTGCAAATGTGATGTTTTGTGGTTGCTGCAAGCCCTTTTTTTTTTTTTTTTCCCTTCGATCGAAGTCGTGCTGGATGGACTGTTCTTTCCTCAGCTAGGGGGGGTGCTACCATGCCCGGTACCGCGGGATTTGCGTTTGGGATGACCGGTTGTACTCCGTGTGGTCTCTCCTATGTGAATTCTTTTGATTTTCTTCTTCTTCTTTGGCTATTCTTCTGATTGTTCTTCTGCTTCTCTTTTTTTTGTTAGACATGCATATGCGAGGTTTAAGTATAAGGAAATATTGTAGGTTTTGGGAATAGTGGCTTAGGATGTGAAGTGTGGGTGTGGTGGTGGTTGTGATCCTTGCTTGGGGATTGATTGGGTCGGTTGAGCTGGTGAGGTGAGGGTTCGGAAGGATTTTGGTCTGGTGGTGGTGGTGGTGGTGGTTTGGAATATTGGCGAGGAGGCTCGAGCTCGAGCTCGAGCTTGGGATCATACTGTTAACGTTATAAATGTTCCAGTTGAGATATTTTTTTTTACAAGTTTTGACATGATACTCGACTGGTCTCATTGCTAGACGTCACAAAGGGAGTTTTTGACTAGGTCTTGGGGTGAGACAAATGGATGTTCTTAATTGAGTGTGATCATGTACAATTCTTTTTGGAGCTTTGGGTTATGAGCTTCCAGGTATAGATCTCTTAAAATAAAAGTTGTGGATGTGGTAAAATCATAATAAGATCTGATGATGATGGTGATGTGCATGTGACAATACGTACGTGCTGGATATTCAGATTGGATGATTTGACTATATCTTCTATATAAGCCGACTTGCATACCGGCCTGTTTGTTGGTCTATTCGTAAACTTAACAAAAGGACTTAGTTGTATCATCATGTCATTCCACTGTTCTAGAAGCTTTGGAATATGATTCTCATGCATGTGATTTATTATAATACCAATTCGACACATTGATATCATATTTAACAGAGGGTGTGTGTGTGTGTCTCTTCCCTGGTAATCGCGCACCATCGTTGCATCATTCTAGAATTCTATCGAGGCTAGCTTCAGAGCTTCGATTTGATGTCGACAGGGATTCGATGCATGATTAAGAATATCTGCGAATACGCAAGTCCTATATCGTAGTGGTGGTGGAATGTCTTGCAAGTTAAACCCATACCTATTGATTATATTTAATAATATAATCCAGCTGATGACATCCTTTTGCACATATTCATCTGGATCGAGCTATCTCGCAGGGTTAGTATTCTAGAAGCTCTTGGACTGCAGGCTCCATTTGACACGGATCTCGGGATATGCATGTTCCTTTTGATCAGTGAAGTGAGAGAGTGGATCCATCATTTGCTTCTTCTCCCCCTTAGCTTCGCGGACTTGTAGTACCATCGGAAGGAATATTAATGCAAACCCCACCGTATCTCAGATTTTCGAGATACATTATTACAAGGGCCGCGTGCATATCATAAGAATCCTAGTGTGTGGAGGCAACGGTGATGTTCATGCCTGAATCCGAGCTCAAAATAAAGAAAACAAAGCCCGAACTTCGATAAATTAAACCAAGAGGCGTTATAAATCGTCGAAACTAGGAAGGTGCTAGAGAAAGTTCGCGGAGGGACTGTTGAGTCATCTGCATCACCCTAGCTATAGACCTATAGTCTTCCATTCGGGAACCTGCCGGCCAGCATGCATGTACGGACCTCTCTCTCTCTCTCATCGAATGGAAGTTCCGACCATGCATGGTATGTTGCAGGGTTTGTCGGAAAACCAACTGGCGAATAAGCTAGCTAGCTACGTCGACTGGTCGGATTGGAACGGGATTATCAAGCCACATTGGGCGACTGCAGATGGACCAGGTATGTTGCGCTGCAGTGGTCTCCTTCGCTATTGGAACTAAAAAGACGAAAAAGCTTCTAGAAGTGAGGGGTAAGGAAGGCTTTGATATGCATGAAGTTGAAGTATCTAGCGTTGGCATATAACACCATCCACTCGGATTCGAATGAGACAAGAGACAATGAAGTGCATGGGATATCTGCGTCTGTGGGTATACAAGTAAGTTCGGTATTCAGTCGACCTTACTCGAGTTCGTAAGTTTAAACGATTTGTGCTTGCATGCATTGTTCAAAATACGAACCCATGAGCATCCAGTGTCTTGGAATTTTTAGATACGACAACGTTATCTTCGGACTGTCATTGCATGTATGAAGAAGATGCCAAGTTACTCCAGCATGAGCCACATCCAAGGTCCGCCCCCCACGCCTATTTTGATATATACCGAATCCTTCAGTAATATACACCGAATGAGTTCCCGGAATGTTGGATTTTGAATAGAGTTCAAACTTGGAGGTGCAGGTATCACGTGATGCGCGCCATGACGTTGGAGGAATCTGATATTTGCAGCAAAAAAGAGAAAAGGAAAAAAAAGGCTTGTTCTTGCTCTTACCTCTTTTGCCTCTCTTTCCTTTTTGCTATTTGCTGCTGGGATTCTAACTCTAACCGCAACCAGCAAAAGGAAGCATTCTCGAACAACCGATCGAAGGGAAAATAACGCGAATTAAAACCACGGATCTTCTATCTTTGTTCAGAACTGACGCTAGTACCATAGTTGCAAAGAAGGAATGGGAAGTCTGCAATTGAAGTGTATATTTTCTGGAAGGAAAGTGTGCCCAGCAGGACGGTATCCCGGTAAAACAGAAGAAGATTAGAAAAAAAAGAAAGAAGAAGAGAAAGAAGAGTCTCGGGGAAGACAGGCCCTGGTTGCCTGTCTCTGCTTTTGCCTGTTCGATTGCATCTTTGGTTGGGCTGATCCTTTCTGAAAGCCCGTGAAAATGGAGCACTAAGAACTTCCAGAAGCGTCGTAGAATTCCTGCCCCAGCCAGCCCATCGTGCAGGGAAGGAGATCCAAATTGTGATTCGCCCACAGGTCAACCAAGGAAAGAGGGTATGCACTGGCGCGTGTGCAGGTCTTGCTTTTTTGCGATCGCTGTACATTACATACACTATGTGCGGAGTGCAGCGCAGTGCACGAGCGAGTGGATGAACGAGTGTGATGTTGATTGTGCCACCGGCCATGCAGAACAAGCACTGCACTGCACTGTGAGAATTCGAATTCGGATCGATCTATTAATTGATATTATATTAACTGTTAA